AATGAGCGGCTACCGCTTGCTTATCGCGCAGCATCTCGCGCATGACTGATCATCTGTCGTGCCCCTGCGCCTCTATGGGTTTAGTGATGGACGAAACCGTGCCTCGAGACTTTTTCTATCGATCATTTACATTTTTATTTATAGGTACTCGTATTCTCAATCCTTTTGTTAAAGATAAAAGCATTTATTTTGATACAAGTAAAAAAAATAAACATAAAATTTGAAGAATGCAGAATTACCAATAAAAATCTGCAAACCAGTTAGCTAAACGGAATAACGGTTTCGTCATTTCGATAGGTTTAAATGGACTTTATTGGTTGTATCGATAATGGTATTCGTAAGGCAGCGTCCAGCCTTAGAGTCGTGATATGACGGCGACCGCGTGGTTTCCCAGAACTGCTTGGTACCATTCGGCCGTGCCACACTCGACCGAGCTTTTTCTTTCCACCTTTTATCGGGCCATTGAAATATTTTTGTGGAGATCAAACGACGTTTAGATAGGTACATTAGGATTAATGTTGGACATCAGTTACTTATGTGTAGGTACTGCTACTGAGAACTGGGATCCGACTCTTGGGTGCATGTAGGATTGTTCTCGCACGATTTTTAGATAGAATACCCATTGTGTTGTGGTATTGTTCATTTGTAAATATGCTTCGAAGTATGTTTGTTATTTTAAAGAGAGTTCCGTTGGTTAATTTAATTTTGTTCTTTTGTATAACGAGATACCCTATCGTAGTGATATCCAAATACTTTTTTTGGGAGTTACAAAATATTAAGACTTAAGAGAGGATCTAGGTGTAAGGTAATCTAACTAATATTATAAATAAAAATTTGTAAGTTGTATGTAGGGGGTAATCTTTGGAACCGCTAGTCGGATTTCCAAAATTCTTTCACTGATAGATAGCTACAATGTTCCTGAGTGCTATAGGCTATAAAACGTCACGCTACGACTAAGTGGAGCCGAGCAGCGAGTGAAACCGCCCGCGAATAGCTAGTATTCAATAAAGCAATGAAAGTATTACGATCTAACTAAACAAACGACTTAATACTTATCTGATAAATACCTACCTAATAAATACTGAAATACCAAGATGTTGTAGACATTCACAATATGTAGCAAAAACAAACTTTTATTCTTTATAAAATAAATAATACTTAATGATAAAAAAAATACAATATTATACTTATTGCCAACAAACAATAACTCCTACAACACTAAAATAACATATACATATTTCTAAATTATAGCGTTGAAACTGAACACTTGTGCCAAAGTTGCGTGATTAGCACTCGTAATTCTTATAAAGAAAAATATATCTCACCGTTTTGTATTGTGGACAGCGAATAAGTATAAAAAATATATAAATTATACCATTGTATGTAGCTTCTGTAAACCTTGAAGTATCATTTACAAACATACAAGCAAACAGAGATTCAAAGATTTGTGTTACTCCTTTGTTTTTCTTTGTGTTTCTTTCTTTTACCTAGTAGGTTATTATTTACGAATTAAACATAAATCTAATGTTAAAATAATAGTTATACCTAAATTTTTGCAGTCATTTTCACGTATGTTTTATTCAAAGCGATTACCTGGTTTTGGCTGCTGTGCAACGTATTGCGGGTTGATTCCAACAACGCTTTGTGAGATTCACATGTCGTTGTTACAGGTCTGGGTAGCTTGTATACATATGTGAAATTGTATGTTTGTTAACGCGCTAACGACACAGGAGAAAAAGTTTGTGTTTCAGGGACAAGGAGTTCTTTTTTTAAAGTGAATTTTATTTCAAAGACAATCGAATTTCTTACCAACGCTATTCATGGATCACAACATCGACAACATTCCTACTTTACAATAACATTACAAGCTACTAACTAAACTACCTAAACAAAAAACAAAAAAGTAATAATTCAGAAGCACTCATAAACAATAAATTAATCGTTAATTTAAATACAAAGACTAATTTAATAAGTGACCCGACTCCGAAATGTCAAACCGTTTAAAAAAAGAAAGAATTTATTTAAGAACGATGGCAACACAGGAGATCGCCCAGGACGGTGTCAAGCGAGATGTGACTTTTTTATAAACTAAATAAATTGGGAGTCATTTTTTAATGTTTTTTTCTTCGTTTTGTTTGTTATGGAGTACAATGGGTGGACAAGATGGCCTGTTAGGTAACATTTTAACATCATTATAAGTGAAAAGCTGTGAGTGATGACCGCTGGCCGCTGGTACCGATGGGATGGTCTTCCTGGAATATTGTTTACCATTGTTTGTTTGGGAACTTTATTATTGATATGGAACCAAATATTATTTAGGTAAGTATCTACTAAAAAAAGTAAGAGTAAATATTTGTTTCATAGGACATTTTTTGTGGGGGAAAATCATCAAATAACTTTTCCGGCCCAGGGTCGGGCGGAAGGGAGTGTCAGACTCTTACCAACTGACTAAAAACACCACCGTTTTTGCTCCTGCTCTCGGCCGAGGCCGCAGTGCCTCATTGCGCTTACCCCACAACCCATGCTGAACATCAGCCCTATATGGCCCCGTCTGTGGTGGTCTATTGGCTCTTTGAGGTGTGAGTGGAACGCTACGCGCCGTACACTCGGGTCTAGTTCTAACGAGCTACACTTACACGCCGTCCGCAGACCCACGCTTACGGTGGCCAGAGATCGTGTCTCGTCAAAGGACGTAACACGAAAATCTACCCAAACACGATTGGTTTTGTTAAAGAAAATGCCGGTTATTGTTTTCTTCAACTGTCTCCTGAACTCCAGTGAACTACAGGTTTTTTATAGAGAACCCTTCGAGTCCAATCAGACAAGATACCATGCAATATTTTGTATAGGGATGCATACTCGTACCAACCACGCACCGATTTAACACTTGTGGGTAAATATTTGTAAATTGGTGTATAAATATATCCGATGATATAAATTCAGTATTATAGGTTTAAAAACTCCTGACATACAGATACCTATAGTTTGTTAACCGCAATAATTTAAAGAACCCATCAAACCGAAACTATTAAAACAATCAGGTAACCAATAAAAACATCTGACAATCAGACGGACGATAAAACCACGATAAGAATCTTTGCCTCACTTCCGTTTCGGAATTCGAAGCAAAAAAATATTCCTTTTCCAAATCTAACATTCTTATGTTGGTACCGTGGGACTGTGAGACTCTGCACCCCAGGGGCCCGGGGACTTCGGTAGCGCCACCGAAGCACCCCGCCGCTTCGCCACTTACAAAACCAATATTTAATTATGATAAGTTATAATGATTATAAATTAATTTTTAGGACGATAGCTTTTATTATGGATTCATTTAATATAATGTGTGTTCACGCATTTTGTGGGACTGTTTATATGGTGGTCGTTAATGTCGAGAGAAAGGGTTCGATATCTGTGCTTTGTTCTCATAGACGGATAGAGTAATAATAAAGAATCATTGTTTGTTTAAAAGTGAAAATGTTACTGGTTCATATTATACAGAACAATACACTATAATACACACATATCACACATCATCAGCCTATAAGTGCCCACTGCTGAGCAAATGCCTCTTCTCGCACTAAGAAGGTTTAAGCATTAATCACACTCGAGGCGGATTGGCGATATCAAACTTATTATTAGAAATTATAAGTCCATGTTTCATTACGATGTTTTCCTTCACCATACGGCGAATGGTTGTCAGTAGTGTCTAAACAATCTTAGAAAGTATATTATATAACTTGGAAAAGGTCACATTGGTACTTGCCTGGTTTCGAACCCGTGCATCATGCATGAGTAGCGGGCACCTTAACCTTCAGGCCACCACGACACAATAAACTTATTGTAAAATGTAGCTAATATAATATTATCGGTGAAATTAGCGACGCATGCATTGAACAAAATAGTTATCATGTTTTACTTATTAAAAAAATCTGAGACCACACAACAGCAAACATAAAAGTTTATGTAACACTTGTGTGTATGTGTGCTTAATAATCGATAAATTAGGTAACGCATGACATTTAAAATAGAAGCTAAGGAATATGAATCAAATCTCTAAAAACATTACTGCACGACAGAAAATAAATCATTTGAACAAACAATGTATAACAGGTCAATGTTAAACATTATAATAAAATATCATTGAAAACTTAAAATTACATTCAGATGAACAAAAATAAACTCTAAAGTAGAAGAATTTAAACCGCTATTCCATCAAACCAAGTGGTGTTGATATCTTAAAAGAAACATGCAAAGTATTCCTCTAACGATCTCTTATTTTTTATAAGGAATCTTTGGATTCTAACCTCTAGTTACTGACTCAAACAGATCATGAGATAGGCGCTGTTTAAATTTTTTTGGTCACATAAAACTACGATAAGTTGGTACCCCGTATGATATTTAAGTATCGACAGATACATCTGGGACGTTCGGCTCGAACACCGCCGTTGTCCGATAACAGATGATAAAGTAATGGCCGAGATAGCCGGCCCGCTACCGAATCTGATACGACACAGTAGCGAGCCGAACACTCACTCAACTCATACGCCATTTACTTTATTGAATTCCATTCTAATGACTGATCGAGATCTCGGTCCGGCCCGACTTGTTCCTCTCACATAAAAAATACAGCCGTCCGCCACAAAGCTAACACTACGCGCTAATTTTATTACCTCAGTCTTCAGACGTTCCGCTGAAGGGCTAATCCGAAACCCATCAATACACCGTTATCTAGAACGGCGCCTGTAAACCAAGTATACGATCCATAAATGAGTCGACAAGTGGCGGCGCTCAAACCCTAATCGCCCGTACCCATACCCACGAGGAAGAAACTGCCAATATTTATAATACTGCACATAAAATACCACAATAAAACGAAATGCGTCGACACGCAAAAGTTTATGCTAATCGCCACTAAAAATATAATAAAACTGCGACCTTGGTAGACGCGACGCGTTCCTGGCGTGCCGTTAATAAACCGAGGTGCTGTTCTTAAGCACATAATGTGTGCCTACACAACTCCTAAAATCTGTCATCGTGAGTTAAACGACACATAAATCGAGGAGAATTTGACACCGCATGAGCGAGTACTATTGATTTATAACCTTCCTTTACCATGAAACATGAGACGCGAATAGAATTCATTAAGTGGTTGGGTGTCTGCTGCAGAGATTTGGTAACGAGCCTATTCTGCAGTACTGTAATGTATGATGCATTTGTTAGAGGGCGCAGTGCGCAGTGCCCATCGGCGGCTAATCACGAACACAGGTAGCGTATCACCATCATCTCGCTCGCGACTTACGATCCATTCCGGTTATTAATGAAGCCGAACCATTTTCGAATTTCGCCGCCGCCCGGACAGACTATTGACAGCTGTTTATTTATCAATGTCTACTTGACTCGGGCCGAGGCATCATCCGTTGCAAATATTTGAATTAGTATTCAATGAGCACTCGCTTCGCTTTCACAACTTTGAGTTGAGCAGCACGGCAGCGTAGCAACGTAGCGACCTATTATTGTTCATAGAAGTCCACAATAAGAAAATCAAACAGAATCCCGCTGGTTTCTTTGCGCGTATCGGTCGCAGTCAGTTTTTCCCTGTGAAGCCCGGCAATGGCATTAACATTTCATAACAAACCTGTCGGCAACTGCTGGAATCAATGTTTATTATTACGTAGACATCATGCTAATTGTTTTCTAAAAACTAAACTTCGCCGGAAAAGTTATCCGGCCGTGTCCAGGGGTTCGGCGTGCCGCCGTATTACGATTAATTGATGCTAATTAATAAATTAATTAACCATGTTAATACTACGCTTGAGAGATTCCAGTTTTTCATGTGCCACGTTCGCATTTGTCCGAGCTGCATTTGTATTGGCGACCGCAGCATTCTACCTTTTTGTTAGACGTTCTCGATACGGCATGATCTCGTTATTTGACCATGTTCATATTTTGATATTAATTTATTGAAATTAATTATGTGCGTCGGGATGAGCCACACTCCTAATTGGGAGTCTGTTATGACAGCCATTCATATAATAATGATTGAATCGATGAGGCATCATAATTTATGTCATATTTTCTCATTTGTTTTCTCAGTAATTAAAAGCGATCTCGGTTTGTATGGGTTTTATGAGAAGTTCCTGAGTTAGCGACGTTACGATAAGCAAAAATGTTATGTGGAACATCTTCTTGTGGTAATTCCAACCTCAGGAAAAATATCATTACGTGTCTTAATAGGGTTTCAAGCTTTTTTATTTATGTTACGCGAGGATATGAAGTATAATGTCTCATAATACGACTGGTACAGTGGAAAAACTGGAAAAACATAGTGGCACGTGCGTGGTTCCATTGAAGTATTGCCGCCGCTGAGTACGTTGTCACGTATAGAAGACGAGTAAGATTTCTTCTTCGAAATGCATCCAGTTTGAAGAACACGACACAGACCGTTCCTTCCTAAATCTAGATTTGGAAATTGCAGTACGTGATTCAGCGACCGCGAGCCGCCGCCGCGTGGGCGTATGTACCACTATTTTGATACCGTCTTTGTCTTCTCAGAATTTTAGTTTGAATCTAATGAGATAAGCGAATTGTACATACAAAGTAAAGTTAACAATACCCACATACATTCTCGTTATGGCTGGTAAAGATACAACTTCTGTGGCATCGTAAAAACTGCTCCATGTTAGCGATATTAGAACAAATCATAATAAAAGTGCAGCGAAAACAAATTTTGTTGGCTCGCAAGAATTTACAAGAGTTGGGCTCGCACGCGTCCGCAGCGAACATAAATACGAACTCCTCGGGCACATAATATAACGAGTATAGGAGGCCAATTTAACAGACTTATTGTCTCCGTGCGGCTACAATGCGAGACACGGAGGGAGACGCAAAAGGAACACGACGCCGGGGACCCCGAGCCTGCCGATACAAAACAATGGTATTTAATCAACGATGATAAATGCTGTATTCAAGCACGTTTTTTAACGATACTGCCGTATTGTTTTGGCGGGAGCTTACCGTTGAATACGGAGATAAGTCGCCGCTGAGAGTGGCTTAGCTGACAAATTGGAATAAAAGGAATATTTATTCGTGTTGGAAATCGTGGGCCTTGACGTGGAGAACTTGCGATTCCTTGATATATTCACATATTCTGCAGACACAAGCCAGACACGACACTGACCTCTTATAAGATGTTCTCCGCAATATAACTTAGCATGTGTTTAAACGATTAAAGTCATTCTTTGGCAGTTTTACTAAATAAATATTTGTTTTCATTTCCTAATCACTTCTTTTCTTCACAAAAGACGTTTTAAAACTAAAGTACTAGTAACTAAAACTTCTGCAGTGTACTTAATGTGTTTATATGTTAATTTTTGATTTCTCAAGATTCAATGTTTAGGAGTTTCTAGCTAGGAATCTGTGACAAGGTGATTTTGAACAGTTTTAACCAGACTTACTATAGTAACATGAGGATACACTAAATCAATTATTTAGTTGCTGAAGTAGGTACTGTACACGTGCCGAAGGTTTCATTTTTTATCGTACACATTTAGATACTTTAGTTTGACGTTTGAAGACTATACGGGGTCGCGTGTCAATAAAATAATGTTCTATGGCCCCGGCCTGAAGCAGGTGAAAGAACGGAGTTGTTTTTAGTCAGTAACTCTCACTCACGCCCCGCCCAGGTCAAGTGAAGGAATAAGACGAATTTTCTCCTTGAAAAAAGGATGACCCAGGATTACGGAGTCTATATTTCTAGAGCAAATAAGTATTTCTAACTAGTTACCTAAGTATAGTTAAGTGGTTTTTTTTTAAAAACTATCAGTGTTTAAATAAGTACCAATGCATGAAAATACATAATAATATTCATTTTGGTAATATCATATTACGTCTTAAACAAATGTAGGTAAGTATACTAAAGAACTTTCCGAACTTAAACAGCTGAAGAAAGCCTTAAAAACATTCTTAACGTTCGGGCTATCGAAATAAAATCAGCTTGGGAAATAAACACAATTTATTTCGTAATTCTGCCTGAGCTTGGAACACTACCGATACCAATATTACGTCATAAAAGATATATTAGTATTGCATACGATGAGTTTTATATAAATCAAGTGCATTTTGTTGAAATAAGGTTGTGTACGATTGGCATCTGGTCTGAGAGAAGAGTCGTAAATTTGTGGAGTTTAACAGCAGGATGCCGGAGGCTGAAGGACGCATAGAGCATTGATTTATACGTGCTACGGACAAGTGTTTCAAACGGGAAAGGTTGAAATATGCCAATTGTACTTTTTACCGAAAAACTTTCGATTAATAAATAAAATAAAATTAGGTACTTCTCCATTCGAATCTACAATTTGAAATGAGTACCTAGCTTCTCTGACGAACAGACTGACAGACTTGACGTTTCAAAAGTACCTATTCGTGGATTCGTTTTGTGATTTTGACTTTGACTATAACTTTGACTTTCATAATGACGAACATATCAAAAGTATATAAAACATGTTTTTTCTATTCTTGGAACGTTTTTGGTTAATCTTTTCTGTAAGAATCTTATTCCTAAACGAATCTCATACAGCATTTGTTTTACATAAAATGATATTTAACATTATTATACCTAGATATAATGAAAACTTTAGCACTAAAAACACATAACTTTTAGGTACAAATCTAAAACTATTTGCAAAAAAGAATATTACCTCTTTAATCCAGTGAAAACTGCTTTTAACCAGTTAGGAGTATTGACTGTAGCATGCGCTGTGCACCGACCACTGGCCAGCCATGACGCACCTGATGTATTTGTTCGACTGTCGACACATGACAATGACGATTGTTCTTTATGAGTTATGAAAGCTCCGCAAATATTGCCAATTGAATCGTTGCTACGTACGTACGCAAATATTGGATTCGGTTTGTTCATTTATTCAGGATTTTAAAGTAATGTACCTGAACATTTTTATGTAGTTTTTAACTGCTGAGTTGGGTATTCGGTCTTGCAATTGTGTTCGAGCCCTAGGTCGACCATTTTGTCTACCACCAGCTGATAAAGTATCCAATCGCCAATATATAAATTTGCATTATCATCTGTTGTGCCAACTGCTAAGCAAAGGTCTCTACTCACACAGAGAAGGTTCGTTTAGCATTAATCACAACGCTTGCTTAAGACGGGCCAGCGACTTCAAACTTATATTTAAAAATTATAAATCAAGGTTTTCTCAGGCTGTTTTGAAAAGTCATATTCGTAGTCCTCCTGTACCATTCACCAGCTAAGTGTGGAAATTATCTAAAGTCGACACGCAACATGCAAATTTTTCTTTGCAGCTCGTGATTCTTTTCTAGTCTCGCAAGAAGAAGGTCTACCTACAAAAACTTTTCTTACTCTCCTACTTACGTTTGGCAGTTAACATTTCAGACAGTCAGCTTTTGCAATCCTAATTGTAAAACTCCCAAAACGGTTATCCAAGATTGTGTCGCTCCACTGCACCCATTTATCACATTTCTAAGTTCATAATTGGCTTTTTACAAGCCCTAAATATAACGGCGGGAGAATTGTAAGCAGATCTTTTTGCTACACACTTATGATATTCTATTGTTTCGAAAAGCTTCCCATGTATGAATTGTAGCGCGAACGAATATGAAAAAGGGACGAACTAAAAACAAAGATACAATAGAACGAACTGGGAGTATCGTTGTCTAATTTTTATAACCTCAAAACCAGGGTTGTCGGTTGCGAAAATTGAATTTAGTAGATGGTACCTATTCTGATTTATTAATCTTATTGAAAGCGTCGCATACTGCTGTGCTTTTTCCATGTTATTTATATTATTTACTATTTTACAGGTCGTTTTTAGTTATCAACTCGTTTGATAGTTTTATTTACTAAACAAACAATTTTAGTAGATATTCGTTATACTTATGTACAAGATTGCCCTCTCTCCTATTTCCACTTATAAAGGGAGTGCGTCTTACTTAAATATTGTATAATTTAGTTCTAATCAGAGCGAGGTTTTATTAAATAAAAGATCTTATATTCTTAAGATCATAAGATTTTGAGTGTGGCAACACTAACAACCATCAGTGTTGCAATAAATACGTCTGGCGGTGACAGGCAAAAAGGCGGGAATGCGCGGGCGGCAAGCGCGCCCGGCGGTCTCCGCGCATGCGTATGCCGTGACGCTTTTTGGCCAAATTCATATTTAGAAGCAGTCCTTTTAGTTCTATTTTGTATATTAACAAATCGTTCTAATGCCATTGTCTTGAGAATATTTGTATAATTTCTCTCAGCCATTTAAATAGTCAGGATTATTGGGTATGCTAATGAACTGAATATAATAATATTGTTTTAAGAGGCTGTATTACGAGTAATTAATCAATCAGATTTATGATACAAATGGAACCAGTAATCATAGATATCCACTGAAAATTGTTGCACGTTGGAATCTTATCTCAAAAGCGGAAAATGAAATTGTAGCTGTCAAGCTGCTTGAACAACTGGTACCTATATTTAGACCATGCTTCATGTTGCACAGATCTAGGAGTAACTAGAGTTTCGCAAGTCGGCACAGCATTTGCGTGCTGGGCTTGCCCGAACGTGCAACATTCCCCGCGGCGGCCGCTATCAGATGCGCAGGCGCACGTGACGGAATCCCGCCCCCCTGGACCGTACCCCTCCCTCTACCTTCTCCTCTTCCCAGAAACAGAGCATCTGAAAGTATTCGAGAGCAGGCGACGTGTCCCCACGTCTAACTACAAGTCTAACGCTACTTCGAATGGGGCGTGCGTGAGTCGTTTCAAGTCCAGCTTTATCTCGCCTAGATGACTGTGCTCTGGCATTTTTACGACCCGTTCCGTGAATAAGCTAATAAGGATATCAAATGTACCTGTTGGATTACATGTCAGACCATGTAGGGTTAAGCATTTCAAGTAATATGTACGCAGCGTGTCCACAGAGATCAACAATCGGCGTTTATGTATTGTGGGTTATGTGCACATAGGTCGCCTGTGGATTGAAAAGCTTGTTGCAAGTAGGCAGTCGAATGCAGCGACGAAATGAGCGCTAAAATGAGTAGTTCTTAGAATTCGGTATGTCAACAATGGCAGCAGGGAGCGGGGCGCGGGTCAGGCGCGGCGGCGTGGCCGGCACAGACACACGCTGGATGCCTCTCTGTGAATAATTCGCGTTGTTGTTCGGCGCCGGTGTTAGCAATTGTCGCGCGGTTGTTTTACGATAGCATCGTGCCGCCGCGAGTCGGCGCCGCTGATCTAGATCGCGGCGTCCGCTCACCAAAGACGTGCACTCGACGGATAAAGTCGTCACACACGACGTTCGCACCCGCGCCAGGTATGCCTTTGAAAAACGCAGCGCAATCGCAAAGTATTCAGCGTGCGCTCGTGATGGCATCCTAGCAACACTGTCGATGGCTTAATTTACTGCGTACCGTATTTGTTTTAAGCTCTGAGAGCTGTAAACTATGTTAGATTTATAATCACTGGCAGTCTCTTAGTGAGAGCGCGTTTGAACATTGCGCTTATACGACTATACGACGTATACTATCTCGTATCGCGGTTGGAGAGTAAGCAGGTGTATAAAGTTGATTAAAAATTACAATGGTGCGATGAGAAGATTTCTCAGAATGTCAGCCGTAGTTTGAATTCAGAAAAAATAATGTATATACCTATTGCTTAGGGAAAATAATTACACTTTACACAATGCAATCCACCGAACTTCATTTCTTGTCAACTCAATTATCCGATCAAATCTGCTCAAATTAACGTCAACAATTATTTAGTTTTTACATTTAAAGAATTACCCCGCCAAATAAGGGTGAACGATAAATTTTTTCGCTTCAAATATTAATAACAGCTAAACAGATTATCGGCGTGCCATCGACACGGCAGCGAAGTTTTTCTCACACGGTTGGCATCAGTAATTCATACCATCCTCTCACGTACGGTCTACAACATTTTATCTGTGCAACGACAGCATTCAAAGCTTTCTGTTCGCCTAAAATTATTCACGAACGGCGGGCCGAGGCGTAAGAAGTCCAATTGTTGTCACAGGAATGCTGTAAGATTTTTTCCTTTAGTCCGAGTTTTGTCACCAGCCGTGTCGAATATGGCACAGCCTGTACGATGTCCAAGCATTCCTGGTTTTTCTCCAATATTAAGTGGCCGTTATGGACTGAGACACATAGCCGAGTGTATTACAATGTTATCGCCGCACGTATACGTCGATAGGTAATTTGTCGGATCGTTCCGATATTAATGTTTTTGGTTCACGATTTCGTCTTCTCGTTATAAAGTCGTTCTGTGACAAAATGTTCATAATGTGAGCTCACTTGTGTTTTAGACAACACTAATTTCTTGCTTTTTCTGAATAGATTGGCAATCTATGTGTTGGTTTTTCTTGGATAAGAAAAAAAAGGCCGACTATGTTGGCCTTTTTTCTAAATCGAACGTTTTTCAAATAGAGTTATTACTAATCATAATTTTTATAATCAAGTCTTTTAAACATCACAGAGTACTACCACTTCAGATCGGAAAACTAGACATGAATTGGTATATGACTAATGTATTGTGTATTAATAAAAAAATTCATCTCAAATAACAGTAAGTGGGTATCATACATTTATAAAATGACAAAACATTAGATGCGTAGAGAGACAAACGCATATTCCGTCAGAAAATAAAAAAACATAATATGAAACTCACTCATATACCCAACCCAGACCGCCTTAGAGCTAATACAACCGGCCTGGACACAACCAAATATTGAACTCCTCTAAAAAAAGTTGTTAAGCTCTTATCCCCAAATTATAGTGGTTAAACATTTTAATATAACGCTAAGAAATGTGAGTAAAACTTTATAAAATGGTGGTCCGTAATATATGTAGCGGTGCCCACTGGCAACCATTACTTAGTTCCAAGCTTGTTATTAAATTCGGCCTTATTTATTTATTTATGATCATGTTTATTGTATGCGATGGCTCGATGGATTCCTCGCTGGTGAACGGTATTTGTGTGAAATTTTCTTTTCGGATTTTGTTCAATAAGCTATCTTGTCGAGTCGGGGTGGGCTAAGATATTGGTAAAGAAAAAGTTTTTATGAATCGCATACAGATTCGGTAGTATACCTACAGATGACAAAATTAGACGGTTGAGTTTTGGCCTTAATTTTAAGTTTCTGTCTGCCAAGTATGGATTGTTATTTCAGATCTATATATTGCATGTAATAGTTTAAAAGTATTCTATAAGTAAGCAAAAGATTATAGGTTAAGTTACACAAAAGTATAATAATAAGTTTGAATCAATAATCGTATTATATTGCATTACATACTTATTATAAACATGACAGTTTGTAACAGTCACGTAAAAATTACTGAATGGAATTTGGCAAGAAGTGCATCATAGTCGGGAATAACAGATATCTACGGTATCTACTTTTTTCCAGTATATCTGGCTAAGCTAAGCTAAGCTAAGTGTGGAAGAGCCAAGCTTCGGCACGAATGGTCCGGTTCGACCGGAGTGATACCACGGCCTCACAGAATACCGGCGTGAAACAACCCACAGCGTTGTGTTTCGCCGTGTGAGTGAGGTTACCGGAGGCCCAATCCCTCCCCTTCCCCTATCCCTTCCCATCCCCCAAAGGCCGGCAACGTACTCGTAACTCCTTTGGTGTTGCGGGTGTCCATGGGCGGCGCCGATTGCTTACCATGAGGTAATCCGTCAGCTCGTTTGCCGACTTATAACATTAAAAAAAATAGAATTGTACTTAATAAAACATTCGTTTTTAACACGATTTACAAAGGCCAAGATAAAGAACAGGGGTCAGAAAAACGATAATCTATCCAATAAAACAATGTTATAGGAGATCATAATAGAAAAAGATGATACTTAGAGACCTCTTACGATAATCTGTGCTCTTAAACAGACATTACCACTCAAACACAATAACTTTGACATCACTTCTCAAAACAAACAATAAAACAGGAATAAAAGTGACGATTATAGCGCCTAGCGACCGTGAATTTTAATACAAGCTTAATTACAGATGAGCGGTGACCACATGAAATATCGATTTGGGTGGAATATTCAAACGATTGGTACAGGTGCCGCGTCACGCCCTCCCTTGGGGCGCACACACTTGCCGGCCCAGTGTTACTTGCTGTGCTTTTATTAATTTATCGCCGTTATGGAAATTTAGAGATTATTTTGCGGAGAATTTGATAATGATGTCATTGTTTTGATTACCTATCGACATTTTTTCGGTCATTTAGTGGAGCAACTTGTTTGTTAGCTATGCAAAAGTTTTACTACAATTATTTACTCTATATGTTTAATATTTAGTCTTGTAGTCATATACAATATATGTTTTCATTAGTAATACTTGTATTTGACCCTTTGATATATTAATAAGTCGAAGACACTGAAACACAGGTTTAAATAAACCTAGCTCGGGCTGGTCGCTTTAATATCGTAAGTCCTTGTTAATAACAAGTATTTCATAATTGTGAAAATAATAGTATAAGTTGAAATTACCATTCATTATATCAATATCTAAAATATCTAAAACTATTGAAATTACTGTGGCTTATTATAAACAACATTTTGTAAAAAGTTATCAATAAATTTTATTTTATTTTAATTCTTACAAATAAAGTCTTGGCATTGATTATTAGACTCACATATTAATCACAAGTAACCGTAGTAGGTACCTACAGGTCACACAATAAAGAATTAAGATCAAACCAAAAAAAAAAACAGTTATAGAAAATAAAACAATTTTAAAACTTGAAATAAACATAACAGCCAAGTTACAAGAGCCATACGCAAACGTAGGAGTAAGAAAGTATTTTCCCTATCAGCGAGATTTATCTCTAAAACCTACTCGGCTTTCTCGGATCGTTTGCAAGGAACATTAGCAAGACTCGCGCCGTCGACGGCAGATGCATCGGGCACGAATCGAGTTTCCCAATAATTTCATAGGGAACGAGACTCGATCGAAGCGCCCTCTGTATCTGAGGATCCATCTCTTGCCGACGGCCACGGCTATGTACGCCGTACGCCCTTATTAAATGCAAAATATTGCAGCTTTACATAAGCGGGATCTCGTTAATATTGCATTAACTATATTTTGTAAGACGCAATGTTTTCGCCCCGGTTGTACGTGATACGTTTGTAACGATGTGTCGGACATGTAAGTTCAATGGTTGTGCATTTCATTTTGTTTTGTTCAAGCTCTGTACGATTGAATGCGTTGTCGTTGTTCGTATGAAGTTGGATCTATTGTATTGTTGTATGAATTGTTATAAAGCAGAAACAAATGAGGGTATGACAATGTTTTTTGTGGTCATCTCTATATTTGTTGATTTTCCTATCTATTATGTTGGAGAGCCATGCTTATTCACGAATGGGTCGGCTCGACTCCAGAGATACCACGGCCTCGCAGAAAACCGGCGTGAAACAACCACAGCGTTGTGTTTCGCCTTGTGTGTGAGTTTGGTTACCGGAGGCCCAATCTCTAAATCTCTAATCCCCGAAAGATCAGCAACGCACTCGTAACTCCTCTATTGTTACGGGTGTCCATGGGCATCGCTGATTGCTTACCATCAGGTAATCCGTCTGCTCGTTTGCCGACTAACCACATAAAAAAAGTTGATTAGTAATTATTTTTTAATTATTGAAGCAATCAAACTATTATTACTTTGCTTTAAATATGGTAAATGAGTTTTTTACAATGCCAGTTATATACCAAAACATATTGATCCTAAATTATAGGCATGCAAATATTAAAAGGAGAAACTACAAGACTACTACACCTTCATTATTATTGTTGTTTCAGATGTTTCGTGATTTAAATTATAATTGCACATAATACACTTACAAGAGAATAAAGAGACATTTACTTCTTTATCATCACCCTATTTTTCAACTAAAACATCGATATATAAGACATCTACTGCTAGTAGTAGTAGGCATAGGGCTTCTTCAATTAATTCTAGAACCTATTACTACTACTTAGAATTGTTTATTTGTTTAATACCTTAAAATTGTTTTGGATCACCTACTTTATAGTTAATAAATATCCTTATCAAATTATTACAGTATCATGCTACAACGATTAAAACCTCATAAGGTGGACATCTGCCATAAAGCTCATACGAATACCATTGATATACTAAAACAGAATTAATTCAGTAGAATAACTGAACTTGTAAAACAACTTCGAAGTTTGTTAAGCAACAAAAATGTGGAGATGTACAAACTTGCGTACATTGATGATTATCGAGTTAAGCAAGGATTATGAAGACAAGGAGTACCATCTCACATGAAAATCCTTCTAGTGTTAGACATGTCAAGTGTGGGAATGTGTCTTTAAGCGTGGAAGAGCCATGCTTCGGCACGAA